ATATATGAAAAAGTCTTCCCAACGCCTATGGGCGAAAATGAACAGTAATTTTGCCTACCCTCATCGCCGCCCAAAGCTCATCGTACGGTCAATCGAGTGTTTCATTTTTCATTTTTTTTTCTACAAATCAGAATGACCTGAAATTTGAAGCGTGTGTACATCTTAGTGAGACACACCTAATAAAAATATAAAAAAAATAACTCGTGAAAAAAAATTGACTAAACTACCTCTGAAACGTTTCGGGGGTATTTTGATCAATGTTTTTCATGTAAAATATTTTTTTTATATTTTTCTTAGATTTGCCTATTTTTGATGAACACGGCACTCCAAATTTTAATCGATTCCGATTCTTAGAAAAAAAAAATGAACAGTGAAATACTACCGGACAATCGTGATAACTTTGAACAGTGATGAGGCTAAACGAAATCACTGTTCATTTTCGCCTCTAGGCGTCTATATATATATATATATATATGGGTTAATCTAAACTTCACAACCCTTCACATTACAAAGGTTAAAGATAGACAGAGTTGTGAGGGGTGGATTTGCTAATTTTGTTGTCTATTTTTTAAAAAAAGTTACTTTTTGTGATATCTTCATCATTAAGGGCAATTTTGTAAATATTACTACAAGACAAGGGGTGCTTTTGTCATCTCCATAAAGGGCAAAGTTAAAAATTTTACTAAAAGACAATGGCACTCTAAAAATAAAATTCCTGGACATTAACTTTCAAAATGCTATTGCACTTCTGTAAAAATTTTAAATTTACCCTTGCTTAATAGTTAAGTTACCTATTAAAATAATTTTTTAAACAAAAAGTAACGATCTTTTTTATAAATACACCCATCACAACCCCTTCCAACTTTAACCTTTGTATTTTGAGGGGTTGTTAACTCTAGACAAACCCTATATATATATATATATATTATGGTTTCATGAATTTCTGGAAAATTTTGCACTTCAGAAATAGCAACTTGTAAAGTTGTGGCTTGTCAATATTCATTTTCAAGCATCATATAACATTCAGAATATGCTTTGTAGTTTTGCTTCTTCCTTTTCCAATCCCTTCAAGAAGGAACCATAGCACGCATAATAACAATGTCTTAACTTTACAAGTCTTAGATAACACTTTATTCATGTCGCCATTTCACAAACTCTTCCCAGAGAGAGGCTAACATCCAATCTTTTAATGAAAGACTAAGAATGTCTCACTTCTTAAAGATGACCATTATCTGGAGTAAATAGGTGTTGACATCTTCTTTCCTAAGTTCCTTTAAAAACATATGAATAAAGTTTACCATGGACCTTCATATATCCTCGGATTTTATTTTGGAATTGTCTTTTCTGATTTGTTTCAAAAAGAGTGAAGCTTTCAATTAAATGATAGCAATTCCTATTTTTTCATTCTCTGTGTTTCCAAGAAAAAAAGTAAAAGGCATAGTACTATAAAATTTCAAGCAATGGTCCTTGCACAATGAATTCTATAGACATTTCAAATTGAATAGTTGTGGACTTCAAGTATGTTCTTTAGCGACATATATGCTCCAGCACCCACTTATTTGTGTTAAACCTCAACCAAAGTTCCATTTCCATTTCAAGCAACCTCGACTACTATAAATGCCTAACCCACGTTGATCAGAATAGAAGATCTGTAAACTGAAAGTTCCACTCAATTATGAAAAGTTAGCCTTACCTTTATGTCTGAAATCATCCCATCAAAGTCAAGGCCAACAGTTTTAGGGTCATAGTATCTGTACTCTGACCAAGGAACCCTAGCATCATTGAAGATGTTCTTATGATTTCCTGTTCACCAACAAATCAAATCTTCAGTCAAGAGATAGCAGAGGACCTAAGATGGCTCGAACACATGCAGAGAGTAGAAACTACAGACCCCATGTTGGAGATGATATTAGGACTTTCGCATCAGGAAAGTATCTCTGTATAAATGCTGCAGCAAGACGAAGAGACCCAGTCCCTGAAAGGCCTTGAACAGTTGCAACCTAGAAAATAAAGATGTAATTAAGCTAGATTTCTGTATTATTTTCTAATTACATACCCAGTATTGGGAAAGTATGCTAAAATCAAATAGACTACACGAAACCATAGTCCATTGGTTAATCATCATCCACTGAAATGGAGACTAGTGGAGAGCGCATGGGCCCCACCACAGTGAGACATGATGCCAACAGTAGGGGGTACTTTCTCTCTATCTCCATCCATCCATTCAATGGACAATCACGACCCAATGGAGTGCATTTCCACAGTATTTGGATTATAGTCCATTCTCCCTTCTGTGTTTGCCATTGTAAAAGAGTTTAAAAATGAACATTGACATACTCTTTCCTGCTTGATAACAGGATTGTCTGCGCCTAACAACAACTCTGCAGTGGCTCTGTTGAATGCAGCTAATCCTTCAATAGGAAGATACTACAGCAATAGCATTAAAACCATTAGCAACTTACCAGAGAGGAGAACAATTAAACAGAAACTCATCATGTATAGCTTCATACCTCTTTGTTATCTCCTCTCTCCAGCATCAGATTTTCTGCCTGGAACACAAGAAGCAAAATGTAAGTCATTATAAAATGTGGCAGTTATTTAATAATAACTTTCCCAAATAACTTTCAGTTCATACTGGTCGGGGAAATGCATCAAGCACCTTGTAAAATGGTAGTCTGGAAAAGGGATATCAGGAAAATATTGACCTTTTTAACCACATTAAGCACATAAGGCTGGAGTTCTTCAGTGCGATAAGCTCCAACTCCAAGGTTGAGCTTCATTGAATTTGTGTCTGCTTTGAATGCTTCAGAAACCCCCAGAATTGGGTCTGGAGGTGCCATTGTCACACCCTCAAAACGAGAAACATTAACTGCAACAGTCATGGTTACTCCCCCAGAGTTCTGCATAAAATACACAAACAGAATGTCAGACCTACCACAAAAGGAACTAATCACCACAAAAGGAACTAATCACCACAAAAGGAACTAATCACCAGAACTACCAAATCTAATATATAAGAACAAAGTGAAGAATAGACACAATGAACTAGATCATCAAGAATGTCTAATATGCAAGTATATCATCCTTTTTTCCTACATCCCTATTATTATTACATAATGGGTGATAGAAGTACCAACATAAGGCAATTCAAGAGATATGCACTCTTGAAATGAAGATTTCAGGGAAAAATAAGCAAAAACAGAAGCATGGTGAATAAACCCACAAGATGATATCAAGAGCCAAACATTGTTATCAAAAGAATGCAGTCTCCAAGTGAAGGCTTATGGAAATAAACAAAAAGATTGAAGGATATAAGTGTAAAGAAGTACACCTGTGGCTACACATTTTAGAAACAAAACAGAAGGTAAAAATCTTACTTCCCTTCCATAAAATATGCCTTACATGAACCTACCAAAACCATTAACTGTTCCAATCAGTAGATATGTAGACCAATAAGTAAATGAATTCCCGCCTTAAAATTCTGAGAGAGTAAAGAACAATGATAAATATAGATGCTAAGACTAACCCTCACTTAAATAAAAATTATGTTGCCATTTACCAGAGGTTATGACATGGAGAAAAGTCACCTCTAGAGTCTAGATACTAAACCACAATCGAATAAATATCTCAACTACCCCATCATATCAAACAGAAATTAAATACAACGAAGAGCCAAAAACTCAATAATTACCCCCCCTACATACAGGTCTGCTGAATAAAAATTGATCATCTAACCTTGCCCCTTTAATGGCTAGAAAATAATTCAGCTTTCGAAGTCCATGATGCCAAAGCTATTCCTTATTTGGAGAATGTCAGATATCTATTAGAAAAAAAATGAATTAATGTAACACATCCCTTAGTTGGAGATGCCAATTAATCCCTTGGAAAGTCAATGGATTCATGAGGAATGCCATGTAACATATGGGCACATACGTGGGCACATACGATTGCCAGATCCACAAGATCCGAGATATTAGTGTTTCCTACCTTCAGATGACTATCACAACAAATTCATTCCCCATGTGCAGAAACCCACATAATGGTGTGTCCAGTTTTAAAGTTAACACCCTTGTGAAGGAGCTAAAACTCAATGGGATCCATACAACAAAGCCATAGTTTTGACCAACGCACATGATGGCTAAGCAATCATTCAATGAATGGATCCCGTCCTAGAACCAGCAAGTCATAAATACATTCTCAGATGTACAAAAATCAGTTAATTCACTGTAGTTATGGCAAATATGTCATTTGACAAGTGCTACTGTGCTAGATGCACTAATTCCATCCTAATCTGCAGTTTCATAAATCCCATCATTTAGGTTTCGATTAGGATGTACTATCAAAAGGTCAACATGCACCCATCACAGATTTAATTCCATGACGAGTTAACCAGTGGACAGGTGTCAGTAGACAACAAACAATACCCCTACTAGATATACTTGAGCCAGTTGCAATTCATGCATGAGATAGGATATTCAAGCGGTAAGCATTTTCACATAGGTTCACACATCCCCCACATGAGCCTCACTTGCTTTCGACCTTATTGAGAAGTATCTTGTGCACTTGTTCATAGTATTTAAAATACTAAAGCTTACCTAGTTTTCCCTCTGAAAGACAATGAATCTAGTGCTTACACAACACTTCAGGAAATTGTGACAATGCAAGTAAAACAAACATCACAAGCAAAGAGCTATTGCTTCGTACCACTCTCTCGTGGAAAGAATCTTCCATTAAAATTTGTAAATTGAGTATCCATGATCTCTCAATAAAAATCCTCACAACATTCCACTATGCACTTAACCCTAGTTGGGACTCGATCAAAGTCACTTTTACTATTGGTTCTTACGGAAATCAACTACCTGAACTTAGCAAAAAATGAAGTACAAACTACATCCCCATCCAGATTAGAACAATAGGATGGTAAGATTCAAAGAAACAACAATGAACACCAAGAAACAAGCCATCCTATATCTAAGCGTAGCATTCAAAGCAACAACAATGAACACCAAGAAACAAGCAATCTTTTTCTAAGCATAGATATTTTGTGTATCACAAGCAAATTACAGGTCATCCAGTCAGCCCTAAATAGGTTCGAGGGAGGTCTGTCTCTTAAGCCACTTTCCCTTAGGCATTCTAAGTAGACAGATGCACATATGGAGAAGCAGACAGATACATCTAATCTCTGCACATGTTTCTAGACTCGCTAACAATTCCCCTTTAAACTCTCTAACAACGCCCCTTTAATGGAAAGGATTTATTGATCCTTTGTAGTTTTAGTTTTCATATCTCACAGTAACAGACAATAAGGATCCAAACGCGAAACAATATGCCAGTGTAAGATAAGCTATATTGTTCATTGGAAGGTTGAATTGTTGTTGCTAGAAGGTGGGCTCAGACATCTCTTGATGAATTGAAGCAATATTTTATTTTGAAATTCTGGAAACATTACATAAGATAAATACACATCGAACTCATTTATTATTATATATCGGTATTTATTAAGTGGTAAGTTAAATACAAATAAATTTTCACATCCAGAGAAACAAGTTTAAGTTGCTTTTACTCACTATTCAATCTCATTTCCATCCAAAAACTATGAAAGGAAATAAAAGCTCCACTGCAAACTACTGCAGTACTTTATCATTTTTTTTTCTTTTTTTTTCTACATATCAACACACAAAAAAATGAAAAAAAAAAAAAAATACTACCTGGAGGAAAAACACATAGGTTAGATACAAAGGATCCGAATAATAGAACGTAATATATATATATATATATATATATATATATATATATAACGAGAGAGAGAGAGAGAGAGTTTCCAGTCAGTTTAAGCATTCCACTAGTTGAGGCTTCTCAAAAACCCAAATATGCTTGAAGCCTACAAAGTCCCCTACTCAAATGTTTATTGTAATTGAGCTCAACTTGCCCCACTTGGTCCTGGTTTGGCCCAACTTAACTGACTTAGATTGGCCCCAGGATGATATTTAGACAAGATGTATAGTTTCGTATTCCACATAAAAAGTTTCAAGTGATTAGGAAGGCGCATAGTTTTACTTCTTCTTGCATTAATTTATCATGTATTCTTGCAATTAATCATGATAAATTTCCCATCATTCCAAGCAATTAGCATGAACCAAGAGTTCTGGAGCAACATATACCTGTGCCCTGTAAAGAGTATTCACATTCTTCTTCTTAAATGTGTGATTGATGCTGGAGACATCAAAATTAGCAGAACAAAGCTTCCCCTGTCCAGAAAATACCCACACCATTAACATAAGGAAAACTATACAATGAGACCTTTGGTAAAAGGTGGTCACAATTAATCTTGATCATTGGATGAGAAATTGGGTGGCCGCATTTATTCTATTGACAAAGCTCAAAGCTCAAAAAGAATGTTCTCAAACTCTATGACACACTCAAGCTATTAGAAAACTACCAATTTGGAAAAAAAAAAAAAAAAAATCTGGATGGAGGTTTTGAAATTCACATAGAAACGACTCTGAAAAGGATCAAATTTGAAATTATAATTTAAGAAATGCACAATACATGCACCCCATCTACTAGTTTGTGATCAAAAGATAAGAATAGCAAATGAAGAACAAAAGTATGGGAAACTAGACCCGAACATACCTGATAATTCGCACGAGCTACTGAACTCGTGAACGATTTTGCAGATGCCATGGAAAACATCGCAGATGCCATGTATCTCTGAACAAACAAAGAGAACTTGAATGAGCAATTATACCCACAAGCACAAGATCCAGACACAAAAATTGGAATAGATAACAACTAAGCCTAACCCCAAACCAAAAAAAGGGATTAATTTAAGAGCCACCCCTCACATCAAAACGTAATAAGAAATAAAGGAAACGAGAAGAACAAGTAACAAACTTCCAATGAATATTTTCGAGATCAGAAAGAGAGAGAGAGAGAGAGAGAGAGAGAGAGATTCAATAAAGTTCAACAAAATAGTTCATGCATGAAAAATTCATCAAAAGCACAAAAAAGTAAAAAAGAAGCTTAAATATTTTTTGTGGTGAAGAAATGAATCTGGAAAAAGAAAAGGTAACACACCTGATCTAATCCAAAAATGCGAAAACGAGAAAGGGGGGCGTTTTTGCTTCTGATTCAGGGTCTCTCTGATTAATATCAGGGAGAATGGAGAAGTGACGGTTTGTTAGAGCGCGGAGATTTCAAGACAACGAAAGGAGAACTCAAGGCTTGGTCGGTACTCGATAGAAAGTAGGCGTGGCCTTTTTGTTGCCGGGAAAGCTCAAACCTTCAACACAATGCATGAGCGACATTGGAGAGTGGTGCATCGATGCCTATATGTACAGTACACCTATCCATATGTACCAGGAAAAAAAGTCTATATATGTGAGGCACTAAAAAGTTTACATAAGGGTGAGGCTTCTTAAAAAACCGCTACAAGAGGTGGTTTCGATGCTAAAAACACCTCAAATTGATAATCTCGACCGCGAGGTGTTTTTTCAAAAAATAAAAAAATAAAATAAAAATAAAATAAAATAAAAAGAAAGAAAGAAAGAAAGAAGAAGAAGAAAGATTATACAATAGTGTAACCTATAATAAAATATTTAGACAGTCAATTTTCAAGTGGTCATAGATTTGTTTGATCTACACTATTTTTTAAGCTTTCAATTATATAATTAGAGATAAAATAAATTTTCAGGTCATCGCAAAAATTTCAGTAATGAACCATCTTTCGACATTATTTGAATGTGCACCTTACTTTGATGATTTAGGGCCTCAACCGTAACCACACCCAAAGGTTAAAAGGATTATGGCCCCACTCCTCAACTGTTCGATGTGAATGAACACTCAGGATTGTTCATGTCACGCTTGTTTAAATTTAAAAAAAAAATTCTACAAAATCTTCTTGAGTGAAATTTGGAGTGTCCCATCGACTTATTGGGGTGAACCTAGCAAACATAAAAACAAAATATTTCTCTTGAAAATAAATTACCAAAAATGCCTTTAAAGGTTTATGGGGTACTCTGATATTTTTTCAGCAAAGGAAATATTTCAGATTATTTTTAGCATTGGCCCCCCTTTTAGATGTATGCATGTTCCAAATTAATGCTGAAAAATGATTTATAGAATAAAGATTAAAAATAAAACACCCTGAGCTGTCAGATCAAGATCTAACACTCGAGAGTGAACTTATGATATTGTGACTCAAGCCATCACAGCCATCTACTTAGATCTAATAGTTGAGAGCACGGATCACATATACTTTATATGCCGTTGGGGTCATATGTAAAGCTTTCCCATTAAAATAAGTCCTACGCTTTATAAAAAAAAAAGTAAAGTCCCATCTTGAAACTCATCGAACATTACAGTTCTAACGTCAAAAAATATTTGAATAAACCATTTCGACATTGACCATTATGGTTGTGAAAACAGATTCAGATTTCAAGCGCTAAAAATAATATTCAAGTATTCCTGGATCCGCAAAATCAATACCATTTTTTGAAGCACGATTTTTATAATCAATGGTGGAAACAGATTTTAGAGCCATCACAGGTATTTCCATTTCTCAAAGTAGTTTTTGGACGAGGTTTCAAGGTGATGCTTTCCTATTTTTTTGTTTTTTCATATGGTCTGAGCCTTATAGGAAATGCATCCTATGTTATACTATGTTATGTTATACATATTATATTAGGAAAATTGTTTCATGCGGACTGGACCACATGACTACACATGCAATCCAAAAGGTGTAAAGCATCCATTTTAAAGATGGATGCAAGTAGGTGTTCCATCTAAAAACAATGGAAACTATCGGTCCAAATGTTTTCTGACTAGAATTATTATTTCTAGCTTTTAAAATTTATTTATTTTTCATATTCATGATCTCCATGTTAGAAATTACATGTCTTTAAAAATTAAATTAAAAAATCCATCTCAAAAATAAATTTATTAATAAGCCTCCATTTCTACATATGCGGGTTTGGCCCCATAGAAACCAGGTCCATTATATTATGCTCATATGTGAGCAAACTATCAAACTGCTCCTCTGGATAAAAATTCAGCTAGAGTATTTTCTTAAGGACTACCAATTTTCGAGATGTCAAGTGATACCAGAATTATTATTTTATCTTATAAAATATCTAATTAATTTCATATTGTCCTAGAATGAAATTTTATTTCACAATTTTTGTTTTAATAGATGAAATTTTATATAGAAAGTTAAATTTCTAAAAATTTAAAATATAAATAGAATAATTTCAAAAAATCAAGCATTATTGCTAATTAACAAGCAAAGTTATTTTTTTTTTATAACATCTCGTAAATGGGTGCTATATCTAAGAGGGCAAGTATACACTGTGAACCCGTAGGAGCACTTATTACTATTTTTTCACTCTCAATCTAACATTACTCCCGCAGGAGCATAAAGCTCACTTTTTATATATAACATCTTGTAAATGGGTGTTATATCTAAGAGGGCAAGTATACATTATAAACCCATAGGAGCACTTATTACTATTTTTCACTCCCAACCTAACATTAGTCCTGCAGGAGTATAAAGCTCACTAGCCGTTTTTGGTGAAAATTCTCAAATCGCTACTTGGGCAGATTTTTCGGATCAAAATTTTTTGATCCACTTAAAATCACCATACGAGTATTTCCTGGCAAAATTGGGGTGGTCAAATACAATTGTTTAGAAACTCGGAGTCCATTTTTTAAAAAACCTAATCATTGAGTTGTTTTTTAAGTGGATCCCAAAATTTTAGATTCACAAAGTACTTTTAAATAGCATTAAAAGTTAAGAAGGTAAGAGCAAGAATCACCATATGATTATTTTTAAAATAAATTAGGCAATCAAATATAAGCGTTTGGAAACTCAAAATCTATTTTTTCCCCCAAAATACTCATTTGGTTATTATAAAGTGCATTCAAATTTTAGACCACAAACATACTCATAAATGGATGTTATATCTGAACAGGTAAGTGCACAATGTTATCCCGCAAAAGTACACTATTCTATTTTTTTTATCCTCAACAAAATATTATCTGCTGTGAGTATACTATGCTCCCATGGGAGCACAAAGTCCACGTGCACCCTCAGGTGAAAAAGCTACCTAGGAATATTTTTTGGATTTAAAATCATGGGATTATACAATAATCAGCAAATGATTACTTAGAAACAAAACACACGTCTTTGTGTTATTTAAAACTCATATTTGACAACTCAAAAATTGAATGGTATCTATTTAATCTCTACTCTCTCTCAAACACTCATTTAATTTATCTTGACTTATTTAAAAAGTAAGTAAAGACTATTAATTAATTTACTCATTAAAATGATTAATAACGCATCTTAATCAATGCGATTTGAGTTTTGGTTGTCTCCCTATAAGGAGCGCACTTGCTTGCTTTAAGGCCACAATAGTTAGGGCGAGAGGGTGCAGTATAGATTATGCTTCGTGAGGGGAAATGATTGAGGCGAAAGTTGGGGATGACGATGGTTTTGTACCATCTTTTATGCATTAACATGAAATCTTTATCAAAACTTTTAGGCCAGTTTTGGGTATCAGATAATCTATTACAGAAAAACCAATGGTTTAAAAAATGGATCGGTGATTCGGATCGGGTTTTTAAAAAATTGATCCGGATCGGCGAATCGGCCATCTGGATCGGGAATCGAGTGAATCGATCAGAATAAAGCTTAAAAAAAATCCGAAAAAATTATTAAAATTCATTATAAATATTGTTTTTTAGGAATTCAATAAGAAATGAGGGTACTCTATTAAGAATTTTCATGTTTTTGAATGAATATGCGAATATTGATATGTTCTTTCCCTGCATGAACCGCCATTCAGCATTTAATTTACATCACACGAAAGGATAAACATATAATTATCATGGAATAAGTACATCAACATACATGGACTACAATAAAGCATAAAATGAGTAACATATGATCTAAAAATAAAATGATAGACGACGTTATTGTTCTTTTTGGTCACGCTGGTGCCATTGATTGAATTCGTTTAACAATTCATTGATTCGATCTAAAAACGAATCATTGATATTAGCAGGCGTCTGACTATTCCCAAATCCCTGAGTGTTAGTGTTTTGTTGTGTTCCCGATCTAAAATCCCCGAAGATTGTCCATCCTTCATGCTCACCTGCACTGTCGTGCTCATCCCTACACTGTTGCTGTTGGGACTCAATATGTGAATAATATGGCTGAGATAGGGTGGCCTCAGAATCATCATCTCTCTCATTTTCTCTTTGAATAATATGGATTAAAAAAAAAATAACAAATTTTCAAAAAAATCGATCATGGATTAAAAAAAAAAATCACAAATTTTCAAAAAATTCTATCATGGATTACAAAAAAAATTCGATCATGGATTAAAAAAAAAAAATCACAAATTTTCCAAAAATTCTATCATGGATTACAAAAAAAATTCGATCATGGATTAAAAAAAAAAATCACAAATTTTCAAAAAATTCAATCATGGATTACAAAAAATTCGATCATGGATTACATAAAATTCGATCATGGATTACAAAAAACAACAAAAAAAAAAAACAAAAAATTCAATCGTGGATTACAAAAAAAGAAAAAAACAATTCGATCATGGACTACAAAAAATTCAATCATGGATTACAAAAAACTCTATCATGGGTTACAAAAAAAGCAAAAAACAAAAAATTCAATCATGGATTACAAAAAAAAAACAAACGTTTCGATCATGGATTACAAAAAAAAAACAAACATTTCAATCATGTATTACAAAACATTCGATCATGGATTACAAAAAATTCTATCATGGGTTACAAAAAAAAACAAAAAACAAAAAATTCGATCATGGATTACAAGAAAAAAAAAGAACATTTCGATCATGGATTACAAAAAATTCGATCATGGATTACAAAAAATTCTATCATGGGTTACAAAAAACAAAAAATTCGATCATGGATTACAAAAAACAAAAACAATTCGATCATGGATTACAAAAAAATCGATCAAGTATTACAAAAAAATCTACCATGGATTCGAAAAAAAAAAAAAAAAAAAATCCGTTCGGGACTCGCCGATTCACTGTTCGGACTCGCCGATTCCGATTCACTGTACAGAATCGTCTGGTTCTCTCTAGAACCGGACAATTTCCAATTTTTTAACCAATACGATCCACTTTTTGCAATTTTCGAGTCGAACAGGGCGAGTCCGGTTCGACTCGGCATTTTTTAAAACACTGAGAAAAACATATTACAAGAAAATATGAGATTTATCGTCTTTAGTTAAAATAGAAATAAATTATACAAGATTTACACAAAATTTCCCCAAAATGCGTGAAGGGAAACATATTGCAAGAAAATATGATATTTATCGTCGTTAGTTAA